TGGGGGGGGGGGGAGAGAAAAGGGAGGCGAGTTTAATTTTATCATCACTGTTCAATAATGCAATAATAATAGAATCTTCTGAAATAGGGGGTTCAACTGCGGAAAAGGAAACAATTTGTGGTTTATTACATTATTGACAGACATAGGGGTGTCAGAACAGATCAACCCATTGTGACGAAAGGGATGACAGGACTTCATTTATTGAGTTTTTTAGAAACACAACTCACAAATTCGAGACCAACTACCCCGTTACATAACACTTTGTAATGACATAACTGATGTTACGTAACCTGTGACCATATTACGTAATTCACGACTCCAATTTTGAGCTGTCAGGCTGAAAACAGTTTGAACACTTTTCATGATCGTGACGAGGTGGGGGGGGGGGGGGGATTTTGCTGTGGTTGGCACAGCCGTCTTAAAATACAATAAATATTGATTCTTCTGAAAGGGGGTGTAAGGCTACGGAAAGTAGTAAACTATTAGGTTCTTTATTAAAACATCCATCGGCAATTGAAAGCCAACCATTATTTATTATTAATCAAACCAAAATCCAAGTTATACCATAGTCCTAATCCTATTCGTAGCATTTATTACTGTTATACAATGGTTCACACGTCATAACACACCTCTTTTAGGAACAGTCTATTAGTTTGATACCAATATTAAGAGTCTATATTTATGACGGGTGTACAGGACAAACTATTATTAAAAGATGTAGGGTGGACAGAAAAGATCAAACCATTTTGATAAAAGGGATGACAGGACTTGTTTTTATTGTTTTAGAAACAACCCACAAAATCGAGACCAGCTTATGCCTGGTTACATAACATTTTTGAATGAAGTAACTGATATGACATAACCCGTGACCTTGTTACGTCATTTACGACTTCGTGTTGTCACGCTAAAAAAAAGTCAACATAATATTTTGATGCGACAATGAAATGGGGGGGGGGGGGGACGGGCGGGGGAGGGAGGGAGGGGAGTTTAATTTTATCATCACTGTTCAATAATGCAATAATAATAGAATCTTCTGAAATAGGGGGTTCAACTGCGGAAAAGGAAACAATTTGTGGTTTATGCCATTATTTACAGACATAGGGGTGTCAGAACAGATCAACCCATTGTGACGAAAGGGATGACAGGACTTTATTTATTGAGTTTTTTAGAAACACAACTCACAAATTCGAGACCAAGTACCCCGTTACATAACACTTTGTAATGACATAACTGATGTTACGTAACCTGTGACCATATTGCGTAATTCACGACTCCAATTTTTAGCTTTTGGGCTGAATAAAGTGTGAACACTATTCATGATCTTGAAGAGGGGGGGGGGGGTGATTTTGTTGTGGTTGGTACAACCGTCTTAAAATACAATAAATATTGATTCTTCTGAAAAGGGGTGTAAGGCTACGGAAAGTAGTAAACTATTAGGTTCTTTATTAAAACATCCATCGGCAATTGAAAGCCAACCATTATTTATTATTAATCAAACCAAAATCCAAGTTATACCATAGTCCTAATCCTATTCGTAGCACCTATTACTGTAATACAATGGTTCACACATCATAACACACCTCTTTTAGGAACAGTCTATTCGTTTGATACCAATATTAAGAGTCTATATTTATGACGGGTGTACAGGACAAACTATTATTAAAAGATGTAGGGTGGACAGAAAAGATGAAACCATTTTGATAAAAGGGATGACAGGACTTGATTTTGATTGTTTTAGAAACAACCCACAAAATCGAGACCAGCTTATGCCTGGTTACATAACATTTTTGAATGAAGTAACTGATATGACATAACCTGTGACCTTGTTACGTCATTTACGACCTCGTGTTGTCACGCTAAAAAAGTAAACTGTATTTTATGATGCGACAATGAAGATGGGGGGGGGGGAGGGAAAAGGGAGGGAAGTTTAATTTTATCATCACTGTTCAATAATGCAATAATAATAGAATCTTCTGAAATAGGGGGTTCAACTGCGGAAAAGGAAACTTGTGGTTTATTACATTATTGACAGACATAGGGGTGTCAGAACAGATCAACCCATTGTGACGAAAGGGATGCCAGGACTTTATTTATTGAGTTTTTTAGAAACACAACTCACAAATTCGAGACCAAGTACCCCGTTATATAACACTTTGTAATGACATAACTGATGTTACGTAACCTGTGACCATATTACGTAATTCACGACTCCAATTTTTAGCTGTCGGGCTGAAAACAGTTTGAACACTTTTCATGAACGTGACGAGGGGGGGGGGGGGGGTGGGGTGATTTTGTTGTGGTTAGCACAACCGTATAAAATACAATAAATATAGAATCTTCTGAAAAGGGGTGTAAGGCTACGGAAAGTAGTAAACTATTAGGTTCTTTATTAAAACATCCATCGGCAATTGAAAGCCAACCATTATTTATTATTAATTAAACCAAAATCCAATTTATACCATAGTCCTAATCCTATTCGTAGCACATATTACTGTAATACAATAACTTTACACATCATAACACACCTCTTTTAGGAACAGTCTATTAGTTTAATACCAATATTAAGAGTCTATATTTATGACGGGTGTACAGGACAAACTATTATTAAAAGATGTAGGGTGGACAGAACAGATCAAACCATTTTGATAAAAGGGGTGACAGGACTTGATTTTGATTGTTTTAGAAACAACCCACAAAATCGAGACCAGCTTATGCCTGGTTACATAACATTTTTGAATGAAGTAACTGATATTACATAACCTTACATAAACTTACAGCAGCGTAGCTAGGGGAGGGCGGGTGGGCGGCCCCCGGGTGCCTATTCCAAAGGGGCGCCAAACGGGGTAGAAAAATTAATTTAAAAGCTCGTTTTAAGCTGAAGTATTGAATTAGACAAAGTCAAAGTTACGAAAATAAACGACTACAAGGCTTTAAACACTGATTTAAATGTTTTCTATATCAATTTTGAAGCACCAAATTAGAAAGTTTTATACGGGATAGTAACTGGTAAAAAGCTCCACCAACCAAATAGGTCGCAACGCCTCTGCCTTTACATAGGCTAGACAATATTGAATGGGTTAAAAGATGGCCGTGACAGCGAACTGAAATACGGGGGGCAGTCAACACTGTCAACAGGTTGAGCGAGCCCGTTGTGCTGTCGAACCTTGATTCCAACCATTGTCACGTCTCTCTCTCTCTCTCTCTCTTCTCCATCTAACCGTTGTAAAGCCAGCGGACAAAAAAAAAATAATTGACCCGAGACGAATTACCATCCGTCAATATTATCTTCATCGTTGAGATATACATTTTTTGAAGCGGCAGTTTTGATTTTCAGGGTGTTAGTGTTTTCGTGTCGAGGCCGTTGCTACCAGATCTAAGCATGAAATAACTCCAGCTTGATATAGCCGTGAAGGCTTTACGCACGTAAGACATAACTTTATACTGCTTACAAGACATTTCTGTGGCGTTGCTGAAACCACTCATGCATAGAAATAAAAGTAGGCTATTCAGTGCCGGTGTCCATGACATTAAGAATGTTGTTGTTGACCTACTTAACGCGACAAGTAGGAGCGGTTCAACTTTATGTTTATGGAACGTGCAGTAGCGTAGCGAGGGGGGGGGGGGTTGGTACATATGTCCCCGGGCGCCGACCTTAGGGGGCGCCAAAATGGGTTGGAAAAATAAATTGAAAGGTTGAGGGGGGGTGCAAATTGAAAGTTTGAGGGAGGGGGGGGGGGGCTGCAAATCGAAAGTTTGAGGGGGGGGGGGTGCAAATCGAAATCTTGAGGGGGGGGGGGTGCAAATCGAAAAGTTTGTCCTCGGGCGTCGGGAAGGGTTGCTACGCCTCTGGGAACGTGCCATAATTTGATACAGGACATTTAGTACACATCATCAATTCATGTTATAGGCCTATAACATCTGCATAGATAATCACCCCTCAAATATTCATCATAGGACACCTCCCTATTTCACATTTGGTTATACAAAATGATTTATGATTTTGATCATTGCTCACACATTGCTAGAAGCCTATACATCTATTATTCTTCTATTTTACAATTAGTCTAAATGGCTAAGTGTCTGATGTAACTAATATGCTTTTAAAGTTACCCAACTTATTTTAGCAATATTACAACCATAATTACTACAGTCATAACATCATAAATCCATACAGAAATAAAATTTTAAAAAGATTATCATATTGCATTTTTATGTATAGTGAAGATCAAAATCTGAATAATATTACAATGAACCTTAATGCTTATTCCAGCTTTTCACAGTTATTTTAGCTAATCTTCTAGCATTAACTTGAAATACTGAGTAATTAATTTTAATTAAAAACACAGGCTTAAAGCTGTCGTTGGCTGTTATAATCCAAAGCTTACACCATTTGCATTTTATCTCTCCACCCTTGACAAGTAAACGGTAAAAACTGAATGACAAATGATGCATTTAAAAATACATTGGCCAGCATTGGGAAAAAATCTAAACCATTTTTTGTTTGAAATGAGCAGGTTCTTTTTAAAATTTACCTTTCTTACTTTGAGATAACTGTATTTCATATAAATTGTTGAATCCATAATTTCATACCACATACTTTTAAGATATATTTATAATTTTAAATAATCACTTATTTTTAGATGTGGTTAAATTTTGTTCTATATAACCACATATTTTTAGATGTGGTTGAATTCAATTTTGTATAATCACTTACTTCAGATGTAGTCTTTAATACAAAATTGTTAGGTTAAGTGAAGAAAGTGTTGTAGGAAATTAGAACCCTGCATTTTATATTCTAGTCTACTCAGTGTACAACATAGGGTAATTAGTTGCACAGAGTAAATCAATTAATATAACTATGCCATCATTACAAAAACTATTATTGAGGCAAAATATTTTATGACCTTTAGAGTTATTGGAGAGCTAGTAAATTTTGTAGCATATACTAACTGAAAGCTTTCAAATATATATGTATATTTATAAATATCACAAGAAAAAAATGAAAGTTTGTAAAGTTTATTTAAACTATTGCAGGAATATCAATCTTTTTTTTAGACATAATCCAGCCTGGGGGTCTAGTTTCAAAAAATGGCGTCCCAGCTATCCTTTTGCCTTTGTAACTTGTATGAAATGGCAAGAGTGCAGGCATTCGCAAGAAAAGGCCTATTCCACCTGGTGTATACGCCCTCATTTTCACACTCTTCTCACCATTAGGTGCAATAGATATCCAACCTATATGGGAAAAAAAGATACTATTTCAGGCATAGTAAAGAAAAGTGTCATTTTATTTTAACATCTGAAGAAGAATACATCACAATCCTTGTCAGACCATGTCATGACATAAAAAATTACACAATCTAATGTATAGAAGTCAAAGTTGTGGCAGGTATATCTGATAAAGAAATCAGAACACCTGAATCAATTTGATATAATTATGCCACATTAGTAAATTATAAGGGCTGAAAGATTTTCTGGCTAAATTCTGTAAAAATTCAAATTGTTTTTAATTTATTACAATATTCCTACAGTGACCTCTCTACTCCAGCAAAAGTATTTTAATTTTGGCGCATTGTTTTACATTGGTGTAAAACAGTGAGTTAATCAGTATATAAGGGACTATTCTCTATTATAGTTCATATATTTAAAAAGTTTTGTTTTGAAGTTGGGTTCTACATACTTAAAAAAAAGTACTAAAAACTTAATAAAGCTGCATTGTTAACTAATTATTATATGCAGTGTAAGTTTTTGCTTATGAATCTTAGGTCCTATAAAGTGAACTTAAGAAATGTTTGATAAAATATATTAATTAAGATGAGTTTCCTGTTAGAGTTCAACTTAGGGCTAGGATTGTTTTCTTGTTATGGCAGAGTTATGGTCAGTATAATTTATGGGATACTAAGATTTAAATCAGGTTTTAAATAATTAAGCTATGGGTGCACAAGTTTTAAAATAAATGAGTTTATAAGTTGCTTGGAAAATCTAGTGTCAATATCACTTTTTGAGATAAGTGAATAAAATGATATTATTTTCAAAATCACCTATGATTAACCTTAGAAAAAGATACCTAGAACATTAAAGCTAGATTAGCTTTCAAGTTAAAAACAAATGTACCAAAAAACTCAAAGTATCTATTTAATTTAATCTATTTAAAATATAAACATATAGCTGTATCTTGTATGTCACATTGTGATGTATGATCAAAATATATAAGTGGGCAACCCAGCCAGATGAATAAAGATGGGGCGCATAAACTCTAAGTTTATTTGCTAGTAATTAACTGCAAGGAAAACATCTTGGTGCTTAATGAATGAGAAGACTGTCAAATATCTATGAGCATAACAAAAAATGTGTTATATTCAGATCTCTTACCCAGAGAGGACAACTGGATATCAGCAACTGCAAGCTTATCTTTGACGCCATTAACACTGAATTCATTCCCAACTAGAGAAGGAAGTTTTAGAAGACGATCTTTGTTGCCAATAGGAAGCTGGTGAATGCATGCAAATTTTATTATAATTTGAATAATAATATTTTTTTTTTTCATAGTAATACAAATAAAATCAATGAACATTGATTGAAATTTAGATAAAAAAAAAAAGCAAGAGAGAATACAATAATGATCTTAGGAATTTTCAACTAAAAAGAGTAAGATTATAATGTAATTTCCTCATATGAAAAAATCTCAAAACTTATTTTTGCATTTACAAACAGATTATAAATTGAGGAATTTTTTTTTATACATACCCCTAAGATATGTGTTCCAACATTTTTAGCATAAAACTCATCAGCCTCAGTCGTTGGTATGACATGAATTGGAATTTTAGGTCCACAGTGGACTGTCAATAGCACACTGTCATCACTCTAAGTAATAAAAGTAAGTTACAAATAAAGACTGCTTGCTTTTACTGAAAAATATCATATCACAGTTACATTAATACTTTCTTTGGAAAATTAAGTTTAGTGTGATATGAGGAAATGATAAAAATGATTTTTATACTGCAAATCCAGTTTACACATTTCAGGTACATTGGTCTAGAAACTAAAATCATGTAAAAATTTTTTAGATTTCAACATACCTCTAAAAAATCCATTCTAGCAAGTCCTGATACAAACACAGTTTCACCTGGTTTGAAAATCAGAGACTGTGGTACAAGCATCTGAGCTGGTGCTAAAAGTGGAGCTTCCTCTGGGGTTAGCATGTTGATGATCTATAAATAGATGCAGATGCTGTTAGAACTTTATTGCCTGTTAATAATCGAGTCACATTAATTTCATACTACCGAATAAAATTGAGATTATTTACCTGGCTTTAAAATGAATCTGTTAAACTGGTTTTAATCCCTTACTAATCTATTCAAAAATGCACATTCACATATTTACGCTAACAGACATTCATCAAAAAATTAGGATTGTTTTTTTAACCATGCAATTTAAGTAGAAATGTAAAATGGTACCTTAATAATCAGATGAGGCTAATAACAAGTTAGATTTTGGATAACTGTATAGGTTTACTTTAAATCTAGGTTGGAATCTTCAGAAAGGGAATAAGGCTGACAGTTCTAGACCTAATTCGGATTGTCAGATTGATATACACAATCTAGATCAAACCCTTGAAGTGGTCATCTAAGGCTATCTAGACATTTACTCTTATGAATATTTGTCACCTTAATTTAAACCAGCACAAATAATTAGCTTAAACCAATATTTGAAATCTGGGTCTATTGTAAAATGTGACTTAGGTAACAGACTATAAAATAATATCAAGTATATGATAAGTTATTTTGCAAAAATAGGTCAGGGTTGTTAAAGTACTTACAAACAATCAACAAGCTATGTCGGCAAAAGTATTTAGCTTTAATAACTTAATACCTGATTTGGGTTAATAACACCAGGTGTATCGTATGTCCAATAGCTTTCACTGTAAGCCTCCTCCTCAAAAGGTTGAGACTTTTTTTCACTTTCTATAAGTTTAACTGTTCCATCACTTCTCACTTTTAAGGCTGCAATATTTTGACCCCATGGAATAACTGTTTCATCTGCCTGTCTCTGATTGATGTTACGTATATCAGTTGTTCGAACATCACCTTAGATGAAATGTTAAACTTTATAGAGTATATATATACAGACTAATAGTTTAAAATACATTAACACACTACTCACATGGGAAATAATGTAGTTAAAAGTAAAATAACCTTTCAGCTGCCAAACTTTCTCTTTCTCACTCATTGTTGTCAAATGTTTTATTCTTCTCTCTTCTTTCCTCATTGCTTCCTCTTGCTTTAGCCTTATGACACGTAGCGTAAAATTATGTGATGAAGGTCTCATAATAGGAAACTTAAGCAGATTGAGTGTGGTACCTGTGGGGAGACAAGATGTGGTTCTTCATTACTATTTTTAATGTGCTTTAGTAATCATACATTAATAAATATAAATTACGTAACAAATAAAAGAAATAATTAAAATTAACCCAGAGATTTATTTATTGTTTTTAAGTACAAAAACTAACAACAAAAAAATCTGCTTTAAAAGTACTTACCTGGCCAGACAGAAATTGTAGCTCGCTCAATTAGATCTCTGGCAGTGTGTTTACAATAATCTGAAGCCAACAAGGCATTGAATAATGAAGACTTGCCAGCATTTGCTGTTCCCACTATAAAAACATCAACTGCAAAGTAACAATCATAAAAACTATGAAACTTTAATTTGATAATTTTAATGTGAATGAAAATATTTTTAAAAAAAACATTTTTACATTTAATTGATTCAAAATCAATACAATGTACACATAAAAGTTAATTTTTTATTGCAAAAAAAACTTAATTATATCAACAACAACTTTGGGTTAACTCTAGTAAATTCTACTAAGTCCCAGAACCTAGTCAGGCTTTTGATACTTGAACAGAATCAAATAGGAATTTGAAGTAGTTTTGTACCAAGCTATTAAAACCAACCTTTTTTCTTGTAAGCTGTTAAAAGAGTGCTTATGAGCCTCTCAATACCAAATCCAGTTTTGGCACTGATAAGTGTACATTTCCTAATTTTGCTGACACCTGCATCTGCACAGGCTTTTTGGAGCTGGTGAGTGACATTCACCAGATAGTCAGGAGTATCAGGACAAAGTAGATCAGCCTAAGCAAAATACATATAAATATACAATCTGAACTACAGAATATAGTTTTAGTAATAAGAAACATGAAAAACATGAACCGATAGGTCTCTGGGGTTTAATTCAACCTAAATCCCCAAAGGATGCCCCTGAGTCCACCCTCATAAGTTAGTAAAGTTTCAATAGTCTTGACTGAGTTTTCTTTAGTAATCTACATACATGTAACAGCTCTACATAATTCATACTTTCAGAAGGATTTATGTTCAATTTAAATGTAAAAATATATTCTCAGAAACACAGTATAAGAAACAAACTGACAAGATCAACTGAATTTTAAAACACAGCTGAGCATCACCTTATTTCCTACAACAATAACCTCATGCTGAAAACCAATATACTGCATCAGATTTGGTACAATACTTCCATTGATGTCCATTAAATCAACCACCATCACCACCAGCGACTTGGTTGGTCGAATTTTTGAGATAATTTCGGCAAATTCTTTTGGGTTTGTTGTAACTTCCTTGAAAGCTTCACAGTGACGAATGTAGTAGCACCGCTGACAGAGTGTAGATTTGAGATCTTTTTCTGTGTGTATTTTGAAATACTCACTCGGCAAAAAACCTGGAAAAGTATTGTGTTGGCACTGAAGATGGGCTCCACACCCTACACAAGGAACTTTACTTGGAGGGATGTTAGGATCTTCTGTGCCAAGTAATGGGCTAGGTTTTATTTGCAGCCCATCTTTTTGTTTATTGTCAAAAGTAACAAATTCAACAGTTTTTGATAGATTTTTTAGCCAATTGTTTTCAGCATATTCAACATCTTTCAACGAGTAAGTCAATGGTTTGTCCGGAATTTCCATTTCTATTTTTTGCATATTAGTTTTTAAGCCTTCTATTTTTTGACTAAATTGTTCAACTGTTGCTTGTTTCCTAAGAACCTGGAGGTTATGCTGACTATTAGTTTTTTGAGCATCCTGCACGATCTGTTTAGCAATTATTGACATTTCAGATTGAGGATGTACAAACTTGAGCTGAGCTTTAATATCTGCTGACCGTTTGTGTTTTGAGTCCAGCTCTTTTTTTTTAGGATCATATACAGCATATGTGGAACCTGAAATTTTTCTCATACATGTAGGTATTGAACAGGTTAAAGATGTTAGCCAACACTTTGTTGTCCATCTTTTCATTGCTATGGCTTGGCAAGCTTTAGTCAAACATTCTTTCATTTTTTCAGCTTGTGACCTAAAAATGAAAAAGCAAAACAAGGCAGATTAAACTATTTAAATAAGCTATAGGGATCATACATATAATTATAATGTGTTAAAACAAACATAGGTTAGAACCCCAAATTTCTATCTAATTTGTATGAAAGCCCCACATGTAATTACATTAAATTTCTTAAATATTATTTCTAGCTACAAGATGGACATTGGTACATCAACATACAAATACAATTGCATATTCACTTACACTTAAGTAAGCCAAATAGATAACCAAATTAGTCTTGCATTTTACACTAATTAACGTTTGTTAGAGTTTTGAAAAAGAAATGCAGAATATGTATTTTATGTCTTATTTCTCCACTACTCAGGTGGGTGTTGGACGATCCCTTAGTAATTAATTATTATGCCTTAAAAAAGTTTAACCAAATTTCTTTCTTAGTTTCATGTGTTCCAAGGACATCAAATCAACATGGATGAATGAAAATTTTGTAATAAGAACTAGATAATCAATTTTGTATGCTGTAGAATTGTAACGTGATAGAAAGCATGAAATTCTCGAGAAAGAGGACAGATATGCAGTCAAGCATTGCAATACAAAATTCACCTATTTTTGCCTAGGTACAAAGGCAAAAATTCTAAAAATTAAATAATAGGCTCAACATTAATTATTTAAGACTAGATTTTTAGCTCAGTAACTTTATTTTGTTTTTATGTGGACGAGTAGTTAGCCCATCGCACAACCCCCAACCTGGAGGACCAAGGCACAACGTTTGGTCTGGCCCCTACCCGCGCAGATCTGTCCGACTTGGTTAGACCTGCCAGGAGCACTTGGCTCCCGCCAGTTACAGAAACCAAAGCCAAATCTGAAATTAATCCAGTCCTCGGAAGAACCAGGGCTCCACTTAGGAGAAGTATGACGCGATGCAGCCAAATCCGCAAGGAAGCACCAGAGCCGACCCCCCTTCTTCAACCAAGGAAAACTAAATTCACAGCCCCAAAACTACTGTCGCAAAAGAAACCTATCCTCATTGGAACATGGAATGTCAGAACACTATGGGAAGCAGGGAAGTGTGCACAGGCAGTGAAAGAAATGCAACAGTATCATCTTACAGTGCTCGGCCTGTGCGAAACAAGATGGAACACCTTTGGAGAGACAAAATTCCAGACGGGAGAAACACTGTTATACTCGGGAAAAGAAAATAAGACGACCCACGAGAGGCAGGCGTAGCCTTGCTATTGACAAAGGAGGCAACAAAAAGCCTGATGGAATGGGAACCTGTATCTGATCGAATAATTAAAGCTAGATTTGAATCCAGAACAACGCAGATGAGGAAGAAAAAGACCGCTTTTATGGGCAGCTTCAGTCGGTGGTTGATAAGTTAAGGTACTCAAGCGCGACATGCTGATCCTCATGGGTGATTTAAATGTCAAAGTAGGCATAGACAGCAGAGGCAGGGAAATGGAGATGGGAACCAATGGCCTAGGGGAAATGAATGAAAATGGTGAAATCTTCACAGACTTTTGTGCCTCAAATGAGCTTACTATCGGCGGTACACTTTTCCTCCACCGAAGTTGTCATAAAGCCACCTAGATATCACCAGATTATCATATCGAAAACCAGATTGATCATGTCGCGGTACAGCATCATTGGAGGGCCTCAATGCAGGATGTGAGAACAAAGTGAGGAGCCGACATAGGATCCGACCACCACCTGGTTGTTGCTAAACTGAAGATGAAGCTAAAGGTGAAGAAGAGGCAACATGAAATTGATCCACGAAGAAGATTTGATGTAAGTAAACTTAAGAGTACGCAAGGCCAAATTTTCAGGGGTAATCTATCGTTTTGGGTACGTAAATCGCCCGCGACTTGTAATGTGAAAACCAGGTGACTCCTTAAATTTTAATAATTATTTCACATTTTGAGGAGGATTTATGTTTTTTAAAATACAAAAATGTTTCCTTGTTTCATTTATGTACCTGTTTTTAAACAATTGAATTAAAACTTTTCCGTAATAAATGAAGACTAGCGATGTTTCCAACAGATGCAACCATGATCATTTACTATAGCAGCCATCTTGTTTAAGTTTTATTTTTATAAGCTTTTAGCGCCAGATTCAGGGGGAAGCCACTCTATTTTACAAATGGCTGCTGTTTATATCTGCAAATCTTGCTCTCAGACACTGCTGTAGTCAACTGTAGTGTTTAAAGTTAATTTCTGGCCTATATCGATATATTTAGCCATTGATTTAGGTTTATTATTCATTTATCTATAATATTTGACACAAACATATCACAATATACTTCTATTAAAGCCTTGACAATGAGGTAACGTTTTCGTACATTAATAGCCGCGGGCGATTTTACGTACCCAAAACGATAGATTACCTTTTCAGGACTTTTCAGGTCACCCTACTAAAGAATCGGTTTGAAGCTCTACAGACAGAAGAAAAAGATTTTGATTCAGTTGAACACACCTGGGAAATATTGTACCTGTTTTAAACAATTGTATTAAAAATTTTCAGTAATATATAGATCTAAAGACTAGCGACGTTTTCATCAGATGCAACCAAGCTTATTTACTTTACTTAGCAGCCATCTTGTTTAAGTTGTTTTTATGTAAACTTTTGGTGGGAGATTCAGGGGAAGCCACTCTATTTTACAGATGGCTGCTGTTTATCTAGCAAATCTTGCTCTCAAATACTGCTGTTAAAAGTTAATTTCTGGCCTGGATCTATCTTGATATATTTAGATATTCCTTTTGATTTATTATTCAATTATCTAATATATTTAACACAAATAATATATCAAGTATATCCAGCGTCCAGTAGATCTAGAGTCCTAGACTCAGTTTTTAGGATTGTTTCCCAGAGTGCCCTCCCTTCCCATTCATACCCAAGGCCCAAGCCAGTGGGTCAGACAGATGACAATTTCAGAGGGGGGGGGGGGGGGGGGGGAGGGGACATATGTCCCCGGGCGCCGACCTTAGGTGGGGGGCGCCAAATTGAACGTTTGAGGGGGTGGGTGCAAATGAAAAGTTCGAGGGGGGGGGGGTGCAAATCGAAAGTTCGATGGGGGGGGGGGGGGGTGTGCAAATCGAAAGTTTGTCCCCGGGCGCCGGGAAGGGTCGCTACGCCTCTGGATAATTTGTTTCAATAACCTTGGCATACAAGGGGACAGCGTTGTCATTCTGTGTAAAATATCAAAATTCTAAATAAGTCATCTATAATTAATGACGTCACGCTTTTTGGACGATTTTTACCTCCCCCCTCCCCTCCGTTACACATCGTCACAAAAAGCCAGACCTTCCTCCTAAAATGACGTCACACCTCAGCCTACAACCCCCTCCCTCAAAATAGCAGTTCAATTTTTCTTAAAACATCGAGCCTGGAAAAAACACTGAGTCAAACCGAATGTAAAAGTAAAATTTAGTTTTGATTATACTTTTCATTTACACCGTTGTTGTTGGTTTCATGTCATGTACTCAAAACTACTCATCTGGGTCAAGACTGTGGTGAACTTGGGTCAAATCCTATATATTTAAGTCGAGACAGGTCACCGTGGTCTGAAATTGTTGTTGTTGGTTTCATGTCATGTATTAAAACAATTCACCGGGGTCAAAACTGTGGTAAACTGGGGTCAAATCCTGGTCATTTAAGCTACGATAGGTCAAAGTGGCCCGAGATTGTTGTTGTTTGTTTTGAAAACTACTCATCTGGGTCAAAACTGTGGTTAACTTGGGTCAAATCCTATTCATTCAAGCCAAGACAGGTCAGAGCGTTCCGAGCTTGTTGTTGTCGGTTTCATGTCATGAATTAAAACAACTCACCGGGGTCAAAACTGTGGTAAACTGGGGTCAAATCCTGGTCATTTAAGCTACGATAGGGCAACGTAACCCAATATTATTGCAGTTTGTCACCGTGTCCTTACATAATACAACTCACTTGGACAGTCTGTGGTCATAGAGGATGATGTATTGGAGAGCACTAAAATTAGTATGCATTGAGTTTGCAGACTAATAATAGCTACTGTCTCTTGTCTGACTTCATTTGGTATTTACTTATATAGGCAAAATACGTTTTAGACGACTACACCACTTCGCTCTTTAATAATGATCTCACCTCGTCATCATAGAGGAGTTAATCACAAATAGTAAACTGCCATTCCAAACATAGCGATACTAATGTGTTTTCGATAAGAGGTAGCCTACAGAAGGGTTAATGTCAAATACCCTTTTTATCACGACCTTTTTTTCAAATCATGAGCCGATCAAAACTTAATTTTCTGACCAATGAACGAAATACGTTGTCAATATTGAGATCTTAGGACATCGGTCAAGCAACCCGGTCAATGCGCTAACTGGTCGGTCAATACGTGCATTTGTCACACCTCGGGCTTTTACCTTATATATTTAGGACTATTATATGGCCGGGTGGAGGGGGGGTCACCAAATTGAAAGTTCGCACCTGGCGCAGGTGAGGAGTCGCTACACCTCTCCTCGGTGGTAACCCGTCTGTCTTATGCTGGCTTTCCAAGTATAAATATATTCTTACGAGATAAATGGCCCGTTGAGGGAAAAATACAACGGGCGCTAGGTTGATAGTGTTGTCCTTTTCTCTAAACCGAAACCAAAATCACCACCTGAAGTTCAAATTTAACCGGAAACAAAAAATGTCATTGAAAACGGATTTTTATCCAGAATCGGCGTTTTAACCGGATTTAAGCTTGATCTATACGTAGTTACTGCACATTGATACTAAACATAGTCGAAGTCATACACCTAAACCTTTCGCCTAAGCTCAGTCGCATTCAGAGTTTCTTTCAGGCGACTCTTCTAAAGGGGAGTGGGGGGGGGGGGGGGCTCCCCAAGCACGTCTACCGTACTCTTCGACGAAATAGAATTTATATAAAAATGTCGGTAAATATTTAAAAAAAAATTAGAAACAATCATGTTGTTAGAAAAACATTTCATGTTAGTTTTACAGTACCTGATCCTAATCAAATAAAACATCATTAAGAATATTTTCCCTCAGTATCGGGTGTTATTGTGCAGAGGCATAGCTAGGGGAGGGCGGGGAGGGCGGCCGCCCCGGGCGCCGACCCTAAGGGGGCGCCAAAAGGGGTAGAAAAAAAATTTACAAGCTCATTTTAAGCTGCAGTTTTGAATTATAAACAGTCAAAGTAAAGAAATTTAACGGCTGAGAGCCGTTTGCATACTGATTTAACTGTTTTCTACCTTGATTGAGTAACTGTAAAAGGTATATCCCGCCATATATATATATATATATATATATATATATATATATATATATATATATGGCGGGGCGCCACACTGAATGTTCGCCCCGGGCGCCGGGAGGGGTCGCTACGCCTCTGTTATTGTGTTCTGAATCGCACAGCTAAAAAAATAAATTTCAAAAGTTTCTTTTAGTTCTAATTTTTGTTTTATTTATGTTTGAATCTGATTTGAAGGCTGTATCTTATCTAAACTTTGATTGTTCTTTCTATAAAAGTCAGCTAGCCATGTGATCTTAGAACTTAGCTAGAATGATTCAATTAATACAATAAATATTTCAAATTTTAGCAGGAATAGTTTCTGTGCTGTAACTAGGTGTCTTCTCGTTGGAGAGCTGGAACAGAGGAGAAGAAAGAAGGATATCAACTCTAAAAATATGTCATTGCTGACATTTCTAAAGGAGCAGTCATTGCATAACTCTCTGTCTTTGCCTAGAACAGCAGCATCAGAACTGGCACCAAGACGACTTGCAGAGAGACAGCGGCGGCCAGTCCCCGCTTGGTTGTTGCCATGGGAGATCCGTTCATGGCCAGGTAAACTTCCGTCTGACACGAGGCAATCAGGGCCATTATGTTCCGGCCTTCAGCGTATTTGTTTAAGACGACGTTCTGTAAAATATAAAAAAAAGATTCTGTTAATGGAGTTTTAGATCAGCAACACGCTGCTATTCGACTATAATACAAGAAAAAGCACATCTAGAATTAGTAATTACTAGAACATTTAGCACTTAGTTTTCAGTCGACGTATTTCCAATAAAGTTTAGTAATCCATTAAATTATTTTAAGAGCCCATTCAAACCCCAGCCGTTCCTTGAACGGGTCTATTGAAAAGTAGGCTACGGCGTATGTCCATACACAGAAAATATAATTTCATATCAACCTATGATACAACTAAATATCGATGAAGACATAGGAGATGTATGGCAAGAAACCAACCAGTCCGACTACACAGCAAACATGTGAGTCTATTAGTACATTAATGGGACTGTCTTTGTATATATGTTTATAAGTGGCACATGTCAAGCCTAAGTTGACATAGGCATATATGTATATAGATGTAATTGGTATAATTTCCTCCCATTTTGCATAATGGCGTCAATTTGTGCGCACATTATATAAATCCACTTATTAATTCATGTGGGAAAAGCAACGTTTTCAATATAAATTATAAGGCTTTGGTGTCACCCCCACCCAGGTCGTTTTATTCTTACAACTTTTGCTTTGTCACACTAGATAAGATGCCGTTATATTCCTGCTAAGTAACGTATAAAAATATCAAACACTAAAGTTTGACTTTGTTGGTTGTTTTAAAAATATATATTAACGATTTTAAAGTGGATACATTTTAATATTATATATATATATATATATATATATATATATATATATATATACATATATATATATATATATATAAATATATATATATATATATATATATATATACATATATATATACATATATATATATATATACATATATATATATATATATATATATATATATATATATATATATATATATATATATATATATATATACATATATACATATATATATATATATATATATATATATATATATATATATATATATATATATATATATATATATATATATATATATATATATATATATATATATATATATATATATATATATATATGAAAAAATGTATTATATCCTTATGACAAACGTGTTTAAAATGTGAAAGTCAAGCAACCAAAGTTGATTGACATGAGTAAATTATATTAAAGTAATACATTTTTGCATTATTAAATGCACATCATATCTTTTTGAAAAACTGCTAGTTTACAATAATTTACTATTCTATGTTCCTCAAGGAAGTTTTAATCAAAGTTGTGGACCTGCATTACTTCGTACATCTGCCCTCTCAGACAACCGTTGCTGCGGGCCTGTTGCAGAACGTACTGGGCACACTCCTGCAGACAGGGGCCGAACGGCCGGCACTTGGCCTGCAGGTCGTGGTAGAAGGACGAGGCGTTCAGGGCGCTGGCATTTAAAAGGGAAACGTGATCCTTGCAGTCGTGTTTGGCCCACGTTGTCCAGTCACAAAAACTGGAAATAAAAGTAAAGAATACATTTTTTTTTATTTACCAGAAATAAGTCTTAAAAAAAAAAACAAGATTAAAAACGCTTCCAGTGTGGGTTTTACAATTTAATGAAAAGGCAACTCAAGTAATTAAATATGAAAATATAAAACCTGTATATGCTTGTTTTTCCTGAAACATCTTAGATGCCCAAAATGTTTATTTACTAGTGGCTAAATTAAAATCTTCAATAAATTCCATCCCAGAAAACTGCAGCCCTCCACCAGTACCCCCTCCCCTTTTCACCAGGTCCATCAATGTTTTCACTTCCAGTCAGTTACATAGATATAAATCACGTTAAAAGGTTAGAATGGTGCAGCTTGTTTCGGAGAAAGATTACATTATTTTAATGACCTTTCACCAGATGTTTTAATGAATTCTTACATCTGGCTGCTTACCTTATCATTATTCTTACCTTATCTTACAAACGTCCGTTAACCAATTGTCAAAATGACCGTTTAACTAATGTCAAAATGTGCGCTTACTTTACTGTACAATGTCCGCTACCAAATTCAATGTCACGACGACCGCTTACCAAATGTCATACTGACCGCTTACCAATTGTCACACTGACCACTTACCATATGTACCAATGATCGCTTACCGTATATCACAATGACCGCTTACCTAACGTCCGGACCGTAACTCATACAATATTCATGTGAGACGTTCATCTTGGGGAAATAGGTGATAAATCCAAAACACATCTCTTCGGAGGTTGCATCCCCTTGTAAGACAGAGTGGTCTAACTTGGCCGTGGTATATGTGCATGTGGTCACGATTTCGTCCCCTGGCAGGAGAAGGACGGGGTTATCGGTACTGTGGAATAGTTGGACGCACTGTCAGTGATGTTGGAGTGGCCAAAAGAAAAACCAATTGCGAAGTCTCGTTAGTAGACCGAAAAAAACAAAAACAAACAACAATTAACTCAATACTTCACAAGTTAAAATCACGACACCGGGAGTTCTTAGCGTGCCTATTTAAAAATTTTATGTAAAAGAGGTAACATGATTTTTGCCCCCCCCCCCCCCCCCTCCACCCTCCTCTTAAAAAATGAACATCAGAGGAATTCTACCTCACACAACTCCCCCCACCTCCCCCCACTGATGTTTTATACATTTAATTTTCTAATTTACTGCTCACAAATACAAAATTTCCAAATCCTCTATATCTTAGCTCACCTTCAGATATCCCCCGCCCCCATATCCCTGACATAATTTAGCTTGATAAACAAGTAACATTTTTTAAAAACTAGTTATGAGATGAGAATTAAGTTTATTTTTATTCAACTAGTTATGAGATAAAAATGACAAGTTAACTTTTCAACTAATAATGAGATAAAAATAAAACTTTAATTTTTTTTATTTAACGAGTTCTAAGATGAAAATGACGTTAAAATTTTGCTTCATCTAGTTATGAGATGCAAATGACGTTAAAATTTTGCTTCATCTAGTTATGAGATGCAAAGGACACAACAAACACTCACTAGTGGTAAGCCTGCGGACTGTCATAACTGTACTCAGGGTCGTTGGTCAGGTAGGTCAGGTGTTTGTTGTCCCTCAACACCTCCATCTTCATCTTGATACCTGCCGTAGACAGCTCAGTATAGACATGTTTTGCGTAAGAGTTGACAGAAAGCGGTACAACACTAGGCTTTTAGTCCGAAAGTCTCGAGTTCGAATCCGGGTTCAAGTCAGTAAAACGTTCATAAGTTGACCCAGCTCTGATGGGGAGGCTAACTCAAGTTAGTGTTTATTCCAGACTTTTTTCTCCGGGGGGGGGGGGGGGTACTTGATATTTTCGGGGGGGGGGGGGGGGAGTATATATTTTCTATATAAATGCCATTTCGATTGGGGGGCGGGGGCGGGGCGGTAGACTCTGGTTAGGCAAAGTGATGCTGGGCAAAGTGCTGACCACACCTTCCCTTAAAATGCCGAGGTCAAGAAACATATGAACTCAACTTCATCTGCCCAATGGATCGCCAGGTCTAAAAAACAATTCTTTACTTTTTTTTAACCAGTCCTCAGACTCGCCTAAAATATCCCAAGCAGTGGCGTAGCGAGGGGGGGGGGGGGGCGGGGGTGCGGACCGCACCGGGTGACACCATTTAGGGGGGTGACACCAAGGCAAAAAATAGCAAAATATATAGAGAAAATTCCCCTTAATAAGGTGATTAATTCGAGTGTTAAAAAGTCTTTTAAGAGCAAATTTGACAAATCCCGACAAGCGACAAGGGTGGAGGGGGGAAGGGGAGAGGGGGTGCAAATCGAAAATTGAAAGTTTGTCCCCGGGCGCCGGGAAGGGTCGCTACGCCTCCTGGGGGTGACGCCCGACCAAGCTACGCCATTGATCCCAAGGCCCCACTATACTTTATATCCCAATCTTACACGCACCTAAAATATCCCAAGGTCCCATTAAACTTTATATCCCAATCTTACACTCTTCTAAATTATCCCAAGGTCCCATTAAGCTTTATATCCCAATCTTACACTCACCTAAAATATCCCTAGGTCCCATTAAAATTTATATCCCATTCTTACACTCACCTAAAATATCACAAGGCCCCATTAAACGTTATATCCCAATCTTACACTCACCTAAAATATCCCAAGGTCCCATTAAACTTTATATCCCAATCTTACACTCACCTAAAATATCCCAAGGCCCCATTAAACATTATATCCCAATCTTACACTCATTTAAAATATCCCAAGGCCCCATTAAACTTTATATCCCAATCTTACACTCACCTAAAATATCCCAAGGTCCCATTAAACTTTATATCACAATCTTACACTCACTTAAAATATCCCAAGGCCCCATTAAACTTTATATCCCAATCTTACACTCACCTAAAATATCCCAAGGCCCCATTAAACATTATATCCCAATCTTACACTCATTTAAAATATCCCAAGGCCCCATTAAACTTAATATCCCAATCTTACACTCACCTAAAATATCCCAAGGTCCCATTAAACTTTATATCCCAATCTTACACTCACCTAAAATATCCCAAGGCCCCATTAAACATTATATCCCAATCTTACACTCATTTAAAATATCCCAAGGCCCCATTAAACTTTATATCCCAATCTGACACTCACCTAAAATATCCCAAGGTCCTATTAAACTTTATATCCCAATGTAACACTCACCTAAAATATCCCTAGGTCCCATTAAACTTTATATCCCAATGTAACACTCACCTAAAATATCCCTAGGTCCCATTAAACTTTATATCCCATTCTTACACTCACCTAAAATATCCCAAGGCCCCATTAAACGTTATATCCCAATCTTACACTCACCTAAAATATCCCAAGGTTCCATTAAACTTTATATCCCAATCTGACACTCACCTAAAATATCCCAAGGTCCCATTAAACTTTATATCCCAATCTTACACTCACTTAAAATATCCCAAGGTCCCATTAAACTTTATACCCCAATCTTACACTCACCTAAAATATCCCAAGGTCCCATTAAACTTTATATCCCAATCTTACACTCACCTAAAATATCCCAAGGTCCCATTAAACTTTATATCCCAATCTGACACTCACCTAAAATATCCCAAGGTCCCATTAAACTTTATATCCCAATCTTACACTCACTTAAAATATCCCAAGGTCCCATTAAACTTTATATCCCAATGTTACACTCACCTAAAATATCCCAAGGCCCCATTATATCCCAATCTTACACTCACCTAAAATATCCCAAGGCTCCATTATATCCCAATCTGACACTCACCTAAAATATCCCAAGGTCCCATTAAACTTTATATCCCAATCTTACACTCACCTAAAATATCCCAAGGTCCCATTAAACTTTATATCCCAATCTTACACTCACTTAAAATATCCCAAGGTCCCATTAAACTTTATATCCCAATGTTACACTCACCTAAAATATTCCAAGGTCCTATTAAACTTTATATCCCAATCTGACACTCACCTAAAATATCCCAAGGCCCCATTATATCCCAATCTTACACTCACCTAAAATATCCCAAAACCCCATTATATCCCAATCTGACACTCACCTAAAATATCCCAAGGCCCCATTATATCCCAATCTGACACTCACCTAAAATATCCCAAGGTCCCATTAAACTTTATATCCCAAATCTGACACTCACCTAAAATATCCCAAGGCCCCATTATATCCCAATCTTACACTCACCTAAAATATCCCAAGGCCCCATTATATCCCAATCTGACACTCACCTAAAATATCCCAAGGCCCCATTATATCCCAATCTGACACTCACCTAAAATATCCCAAGGTCCCATTAAACTTTATATCCCAATCTGACACTCACCTAAAATATCCCAAGGTCCCATTAAACTTTATATCCGAATCTGACACTCATCTAAAATATCCCAAGGCCCCATTATATCCCAATCTGACACTCACCTAAAATATCCCAAGGTCCCATTAAACTTTATATCCCAATCTGACACTCACCTAAAATATTCCAAGGTCCCATTAAACTTTATATCCCAATCTGACACTCACCTAAAATATCCCAAGGTCCCATTAAACTTTATATCCCAATGTTACACTCACCTAAAATATTCCAAGGTCCCATTAAACTTTGTATCCCAATCTGACACTCACCTAAAATATCCCAAGGCCCAATTATATCCCAATCTTACACTCACCTAAAATATCCCAAGGTCCCATTAAACTTTATATCCCAATCTTACACTCACCTAAAATATCCCAAGGTCCCATTATATCCCAATCTTACACTCACCTAAAATATCCCAACATTATATCCCAATCTGACACTCACCTAAAATATCCCAAGGTCCCATTAAACTTTATATCCCAATCTTACACTGACCTAAAATATCCCAAGGTCCCATTAAACTTTATATCCCATTCTTACACTTTCACTTAAAATATCCCAAGGCCCCATTATATCCCAATCTTACACTCACCTAAAATATCCCAACATTATATCCCAATCTGACACTCACCTAAAATATCCCAACATTATATCCCAATCTTACACTCACCTAAAATATCCCAAGGCCCCATTAAACTTTATATCCCAATCTTACACTCACCTAAAATATACCAAGGTCCCATTATATCCCAATCTTACACTCACCTAAAATATCCCAACATTATATCCCAATCTGACACTCACCTGCGTAGTGCATGTGATTCCAGGCCATGGTGATTTGAACCGCCCCCTTGTAGTACCTGCTAGTGCACGCCTTGGTGCACGTGCCTTTCACAGTGACCTCAGGTGCTCTAGGCGGTAGGACGAACCAGTTGGAACCAGTCAGGATGATTCCAGCGTCGTAGGGTCTCCTGGGGGAGGGGGAGAATGGAAGAGGTCACGTGATGTTAAGAGCCTAAATCGTGATTTTTAAAATTCCCCAACCTAAACCTATTTCTGATAAAATGACACGAAACTGTGTTTAGTTGATATGTCACACCTTTATCATTTTACCCCTTACACAGCAGCGTGTGTTATGTTTGACATAGATACGGGTAGAACTACAGTTTTGTTTGCCTTACCCTCATAAAGTTCAAAGAGAATTCTGATGAACATATACTCACAAATACTCACGCATGCACACACACACACACACGCACGCACGCACACACACGCACGCACGTACGCACGCACACACATACACACACACAGTCCCGTGCAGAAAACCGTTGCAATTCACCTTTTAGGCGTGTAGTACAACTTTAACCCTGAGCTGTCTGTCCAGTTGGTTTTTTTTTCTGGATTGTTCCAGTGGACCTGTAGGTGATTACGTGTTTGGTTACACACGATGTGTAAAGTCGACACATCAGACTGTCTTTCTGACGTCACACAATCAACGTCGTAAACGCAGATATACCACACTTTATACAAACAGTCATATACAGCTACACACTGTCATATACACAGTCATTTACACAGTCATACACACAGTTATACACACGGCTCTATACAGCCATTACAAGTTATATATATATATATATATATATATATATATATATATATATATATATATATATATATATATATATATAATTTAGTCGTATAAACAGCCATATACAGATATATTCACAGCCATAAAAACAGCCACATTCACAGCCATACACACAGCAATACATAGAGTCATACACAGACATACACACAGTCATACACACAGCTATAGACACGACCACACACACCCATACATACAGCCATACAAAATATCAAACTTGCTTATGCAAAACTTGAATACACGGATTAAAGACATGACCTACCAAATAGAGTCACACATAACCACAAATTTGAAAAAAAAAAACAACTATTGACACACCCTCTCGCGTGGTATGACGCCACACACAACAAACCTGGATAGCGACCCTCTTGTACCCGTTGACCCCTATCCTGACCCCTGCATTGGGATGGCTGCAGTCACCCGCGAACCCCACGGTCCATACACTGAGGAAGTCCTGACAGTTCTTGGATGCCGTCATGCCACACTCAAACGCTGAATCTGACGCCTGCTCTTTGTCTGTTGGATACCAGAAGAGATTGTGTAAGAGATTGTGCATGTACGATATAATATTAACGTGAGACATAGAAGAACTAAGCGTAAGAGATTGTGGATGCACGATATAATATTAACGTGAGACATACCAGAACTTATTGTAAGAGATTGTGCATGCAGGGGCGTAGCGAGGGCCGGGCAGGGAGTGCGGGCCGCATCGGATGACATCATTTGGGGGGGGGGTGACACCAAGGCAAAAATTGCAAAATTTAGTGAAGAAAATGCTTTTTTTTGCCCGATCAATTAATAGTTAATTAAAGTTAGTCTTCTAAGTAAAAATAAAAAAAAATATAACAAGGGTGCTGGGGTGACACCATGACGTAAACGTGCTAACTTTAGAGACACATTCCTAGATCCAACTACATTATTAACAAACTATAGATAAACATCGTTACTATTACGTCTGTAGTGATTAAAGCTTATAAACATACATGTATGCGTATGTGGCGTATATTTAAATTATAGGCCTATGTAGGCCAATACACACACACTCATAAATATATATATATATATATATATATATATATATATATATATATATATATATATATATATATATATATATATATATATATATATATATATGGTTCCATGACAAATGATCTCAGGACAAATGATCTCAGACAAAATATCTCAGACAAAATATGTCACGGACAAATGATCTCAGGACAAATGATCTCAGGACAAATGATCTCAAGGACAAATGATCTCAAGGACAAAAGATACCAGAACAAAATATATCAGGACAAATGATATCATGGACAAATGATCTCAGACAAAATATCTCAGACAAAATATCTCACAGCGAAATTTTAATAGTATGTACGATGATTTTAGTTGATTTGAACTTTTTTTTTATTGACTGTTAATATGGGTTTGTTTACTTTTTTACGCATAATAATTGTGAATAAAATGAATTTGTTAAACGTAACAAACCATCAAAAGATTTATTAAACTTTGTCGTAGTATTTTATTCGAAAAAGTAAAAATTATAACAAACTTACTCCTTTAGCCTGAAAGGTATAAAAAATGATAACGTATAAAACAAATAAAGTAATGGTTGTTATACACCATAAAGGTTAAAAACACGCGAAATATTTTTCAAAAATGTGAATGGGTCTTCAGGATCGTAACGTTAAACTATTGTTTATATTGCATCATCAACACAAACATAACGTTTACGTTTCTTTGCTGGCAGGTACATCAATATGATCACACCTCTCATATACTATGTGATCATCTATTGTGTGAACTCTTGCTCGACATGTCCTAATTTCACATTTCCAAATCTCTTTGCCTGCTCATGGCAAACATAAATTCACCAGAAACTAATGTCCTTTCTGCGAGGTAACGTAAGAGGCCATAACTGAGTAATCACCACTAATGCTGCTTTGTTTGATGCACACTACGACAAACTTAGCTCCGCGATGACCGCTGTTTGTTTAAATAAGAATTTGTCACCTGATCACTAAGGTGTGACCAACTATTGACTGTTGATGCTAGTTGTATTGTCCATGGAAGGCGAATGTCTTTCCCTTAAGGGGGGGGGGATGACACCACGAAGTGCCGCACCGGGTGACACCCGACCTAGCAACGCCACTGATATAATATTAACTTGAGACATATCCGAACTAAGTGTACCTATATTTACTTTTACACTTATACCTGTATTTACCTCAACCTCTATTTATTTTTACATATGGGGGCCTATACCTCTATTTGCCAATACACGTACACACGTACAAGGGCGTCTCACGAGACAGGGGCAAGGGCGTAGTGGGGGAAGGGGGTGTCCGCGGCGGGTGAAACTATTTAGGAGGCGACATAAAAAAACCGTTAACTTTATAAACAAAGCAATGCAATATCTAAATGAATAATAAAACAAAGCGAAGACGAAATATTTTCTTAAGGGTGGACGGGAGGCACCTTCAGTTTTTACCGCACCGAGTTGCACCCGACCTAGTGACGCCACGCCCTGAGTTGACCCCTATATTTGTACATGTGTTTACCTTTACATCCAAACAAGACCATGTGGTGCAGCACATTCACGTTATCGATAACAGGTTCCACTGCCACCATGTGGTAATCGTCAGGTGGCATCATCTTTTCCAGGTCGAAAATTTTACACATGTAGGTGGTCTCCTTCACTGGGACGTGAGAGCCCTTGGGCAATTGAACACTGACATTTTTCACACCTAGGGAAGTTCATTTAACGAGCTTTACTATAGAAATCATTAATGCCAGCACAATCGCGAGCAAAGCTAAATTTATATATTTCATTTTTTTTAATCGGCTGAATGTATTCGACGATGTCTTTGCCGGTATTGCTAACTTAAAATAGAACGGGAGTAATAATCCCTAAACGTTCTCGTATATTCTGATATAACATTAAAGGGTTAGCGCTTGCAGGGATGTAACAATGTTTCTTTTTCAAATTTTTAAATTCTTAATTTTATTTTTACAAAACAGAATAGAATCGCGTTGAAAAAAGAATTTTGCACCGGAAATAGATCAAAATTTGTGAGTAACAGTAACAAGCCAATAAGATCATATAAATATGTATTAAATTTCGTCCAGCTAACTGAAAAAGTACTCAAGTAATTTGGTAGTTAATATTTTTAGAAACCAGCAATAGAGTAAAGTACCTCTTCCGGTTACCGGAAATCGTTTAAAAGTTGAAAGAAAAATACATATTTTATAAAGTACTTATAAATCAAATTCGATTAACACAGAAAGACACACAAAAAGGCGGACAGGATAGAAAAACTAGGATGTAAAATCTCGATTTAGATTTTTTCCCATCCTGTATGTTACGTATACGTTAAAGCACGGAGGTGTAAAACTTCGAAAACTGTCAAAATTTCATATAATTTGCGTGCACGGTTACAATACTTCCTCCATAAAGGGGCGGATAAGCTTGAGCGGGGCCCAACGGATTCTGTATAGTTTGTGAAAAATATTGTAGTGCAGCCCATTCTTGTGGATCCTGTGGCAAGAATGTCCATGCAATAGAATAGCCGAAAAATCAGATACAATTTTTTAAACAAGCTGAAGTTGGAGATAATTTTCACATCCGTATACAAGATGTTGACAGAGGTCGCGGTGATCCACGAAGCGTCCTTGTAGTTGTCATGAGCGTCGAGTGCGGTTTCTACAAGGTAGGAACTGAACTGTATGCTAGAAATGAGTTTTTAATTCTTCACGAAAAACTGCTCTCATTGTCGTCCGTTGGCACTGAGGAAAAAATCACTACAAACCATCGCATCTTCAAAATCACTGACCGGCGGCTAAGGCTACACTCGCTGCAATTGCACAACAAATAGTTGCAAGTGTAAAAACAACAAGCTACTATGTAATTCTAAATGCCATAAAAGTTTAACTTGTTGTAACAAGTGATAATATTGATTGAGACTATAGTACAATAAAATAGTTTGAAAGTTTCTATCATTTACTTTAAATAATAATCAATAAAGACTTGATTTCACGGTATAAAAAAACTCGAAATCTGCTCATGATCTTCTAATTCGGACTTTGGTAGGTCCACCATAGCCAGTCCGCAGATTGGCCGACCAAAGGCCGAAATCAAGTAAAGTTTCGGACTTTGACCGGTCAATGGAAGGCGATATTGGGCAATACACGGGCTTTGACCGTAACACACACACACACATATATATATATATATATATATATATATATATATATATATATATATATATATATATATATATATATATATATATATAAGCCGGCGGGAAGTGTGTCAGTCCTTCCGTCATAAAATGTTCACTGATGTTAATTTGGCAAGAGAGTTAAAATATACTTGATCTTACACCATGCAGCTATCTAAGTATTTATCTTGGGACTTATGATAAATAAACGAGTCAAAATCCATTCGAAAATGAGGTATGAACTAAAGAAGCAGGATTTTAAGAAATATGTCAAGTTTGTATGATGTTAGTTTATGTGATCCGTCCACTTAACCCACGCGGATCTGACAGTGTAGGCTAGGCCTAGTCTATTGTTATTTACCCTCTGGTTGTGTTTTTAAGCGAGGTCAATCGAAACCTAGTTTTTTTAGTCCAGTGTCACACGTTTGATTAATTACAATAAACATTGTATTACGTGAAGCGAGCACAGCACTGTACAGCTTGTGCGTTTGTGTCTGTCTAAAGGACAAACGTATATTTTCATAGGAGAATAAATGTCAAATTTATGTGTTTGTAATATAAAAATAAGCTTATGGTTTGAACGTTAGAACATTCATTGAGATAGTAAAAACAAAAATCGACAGGAAAATCGACGAATTGTGTATTATTGTTAAAAAATGAAAATTTGGGAGGCCTCACGACTTCAATTTCGGTACTCTTGAGATAAACCCCACCATGTCCTTGTTGCTAACACTTGACAACATCTTTAGTATCCGACCTGCCACCTCCAATAACACATCCTCAAAACACAATTCTTACCTTACAAAAACGTTGTGTTTTTAAACGATGCAGTCGGATCAGTAGGTCTATACATATTTCTATTTTCTTGAGACTATAGGGCTAAAGGGTACGCCATATCACTAGCTGGTCATTTTTTTAAACAATTAGGCGGATTAGTCATAAACAAACGTGTAGTAAAACTTGTTTTTTAGTTTGTTTTGATGAGATTCTGTTTTTTTTCTGACACAGGCTGATGAACCCATTTATGTGCCAGAAAAGTATTTCTATTATTTAAGATGAGCCGCCTTAGATTTCAGCGGAGAAAGCGATGACAGCTGCTGTAAACACTGGAAGGAGGCGTTTTGAAGTGGGATTTTTGTATGGCTTTAGTTTGTTTAAAAATAGTTTGTAATTTAGACATTAAAACAACGAATTAACTAACAGAAATAAACGTCTGTAGAAATAAAAAATGAGTTATTGGGGGCGAATTTGGGTGCCCCTTAAAATGCTGCTTGTATGAATGCTTGCGAGTGAGATTTAATAAACAATGTACACCCTATGCCTAACATTTGTGATTTATTTTATGATTACTCCCTTAATACACAATCTGGCGTTATCTGACGAAACGAATTTCAAATTCCTATCTTACTATTTTAAAGAGAGTCAATTGTAGGCTTAAACTATTCGGTCTGAATTCTGCTGCTGTTTGTGGTCATTTTTAAGCTCTAAAATCAACTTATTTTACTGGTATAAATGAACGCTGGTACATACTATGTAATTTTAGGGATCATCAGCTTAATTAATCTAAACAACGTCTGAGTAGGAGGTGATGACAGCTGGTAGTTATACAAAAATGCGCGCACGTGTTTGATATTTTGAAAAAGAATGGAAACAAAATTGTGATTTATGCATTAAAACATTGATTTTTATAGTAAAAAACAATTAGGTTGTAAAGTGAAATTTACTATGGTTTGTAAGTGAAAATTTGGGGCCCCCTAAAAATCGGGAAAAGTAAAAACACTGGCCCTAATTCTAGCTACATTAGAGGACCATAAACCTAACACAAAGCCTAATCCTACAGTTGCGACCAGATTTTAAATATATCGTAACAGCAATACCTAGCATCGATACTACTGTGCGATACTGTTATATAAAAGTAGCTTTAAAAAATAATCTTTCACATTCCTGATTCAATAACGTAGTCTTATTTAAAAACAAAAAATTTAAAAAGTTCAAGTCAAAATGGATTAAGATCAGACCTTGTTCTTCTTTGCCAGCACAAATAAAGTCTTGAGCCTTACACTCCTCTCGCATCCAGTCCGCCTGGGTTTTGTACACGGCGTGGACCACCGGCTTAGCCAGGCAGGACGGGGAGTCCCACGGGTCACAGATCCCTGGGGGAAGACGTCTGGTTGGAATGGAATTCTCGCAGTGATTTTACATGACATACAGCTTAGTGGACATTTTATATAGCAAAAACAATATTTAAAAAAAACCATATTAATGTATCTCCTGTGGTATGTTTTTATCAGACTCTTCGACGTTTTAGAGGGATAAATAACATACCAGGGTGAGATAATCCAGTTGTTCTTTTTGGAATAGAGTTCTCTGTCCATGTACAATCAGGATCGCCCAGTTCTTGACCATTGGTCATCCCATCACCGTCTGAATCTTTTCTACACAGCTCTGCAGTCCATGCCTAAGAAATAACCCAACATGTTTTATTTTAATGAAGCAAAAAACCTCAAGTTTTAAAATCTAAATAAAAGTGTTTCAAAACGCACATGTCCAGCGGCTTTAAAATCCGACCCGAACAAGTTTTGGACCCCTGTCCCCTGGTCCAGCATATGACCCACTCCCTCCCACAAGTGGTTTGGCTTACAAGGAAACGGGACCGCGTCTCCATTGGGAATTTTACTTTTGTAAACTCTGTATGTGCATGCCCATTGCAGCAACGCGAGACACACAAGTGACCTGAAAGTACAAAAAAGGTAATGGTACTTAGCACTGTTGGCTAAAAGAATTTACTAGGTTTGGTAGCGGTTTTTTTTTCACTGTCACTATCTCTAAAAATTTATAAGACACTACTTTATCGCCTTTGTAGCGCTGTCATTGATCAATATTGGAAATTTAAAACAAGTTCCATTATTATTAATAATTTATTTTCACTAAAAACAACATTCGATCGCGATTTCATTAGGTGATATCATATCTGCTTCTTCTTCTTCTTCGTTCTTAAATATTAGTGTTGAAGGGGATCGAGATTTATCTGCCAGTGGGTTTGAACTCGAGACTTTGTTCGAATTTATCAACCATGCACTTTTTGCCGACTCGACCACACCTCCAACACAATTAAGCGTTACGTGTCAACTGGTTATGCGCCATTGAGGCCATTGACTCCGATTTCAGCCTGCTTTTCTTTTTGGATTTGCTTCCATAGCCTTTGTCCAACCAAGAACAAACTACAAGGCAGCAGTTGTTTAATTTTGGAGTTGTCTCTCCTAGAAGAGTGGCTGTCCCCAGCTAACGAGCCTCAACTGCCCGAGGGTTCGAACTCGAGACTTTTCGGTTTTCATATCTGCTAACACTCAACAATAGAACAGACAATAAATGTTTAAAAATAATTTTTGTTTACCCCAAAGATGACTTGTGTGAAAAAGGCGACATGTCAGATCTTCACCAAGTGTACCGAATGACGATTTCAATCACCCAGTTACTCATCCTTGTTTGCTTACTTCAACATCAACTTAACAGAAGACACAAAACAAAGTGATCATTGTTTCAACACTTTAACAATTCTTAATAGCTGCTTGGAAAGGCGCTCGAAGATGTACAATGATAGAATAAAGCTTACTCTTAAGACAAGTGGAGACCGCAAGTGCAGTTAAGATGTAATATATCTTGTACATCTAGGAAATAGTTTTTTTGTGTGCTGATTTGAGTGAAACAGTAATGTAGTGCAAAAGGTTAAAAGCAGTATTTCTTCCATGGGGGGAGGGGCGGACTAAAATTTCCGGGGGGGGGGTGTGGTGGACTCTGTTAAAAAATATATATTCTATATACATTCCATTTCGTTCGGGTGGGGGGGGGGGGGGCGACTTTCTTACTTTCTTCGAGGGGGGGGGGGAAGGAAGGGGGGGGGGCGTAGCCCTACCGAAAAGATGACTGGAAAAAACTCTGGTTAAAAGTGAACTGCCCTCAGTGACAATATTTCCTACATATGCAGCATGAAATGTTCACTCGCTTTCTCTGTCTCTATCTCTCTCTCTCTGTCTGTCTGTCTCTCTCTCTCTCTCTGTCTGTCTCTGTAATATATATATATGTATATATATATATATATATATATATGTATATATATATATATATATATATATATATATATATATATATAGGCCTATATATATATATATATATATAGGCCTATATATATATATATATATATATATATATATATATATATATATATATAAGCGGGAAAAGGCAACAGATGAATTTAATGAGCACCAGCAATGTATCATGAAATAGCAATTTTAATTTCCGGAACCAAAAAAATCATATACGGAGAAAAAAAAATGAGCCTATTAAAATCGCCTTGAAATCATTCTGATACAAGCGTTTAATTTTTACTCATTATTCTGTTTAATTGGCGGTTTGCACTAGTCAATTTATCGGGTTTTAGGTATTTCAAGCTATAAGCTTGTACTTGTTTCTCTCAATTAGCCGTCTGTTGATGTGTCTAATTAATTATTAGGAGGCTGTTTATGTGGCTAGGTAGCTGTCTTTACTATTTTCTAACAAGCAGTATGTACTCGTGTCTAATTAACGGTATATATAATTAAACACATTAAACTTAAAGGCTATTCTGTGCATTTGTTCAATGTGTCCATGAAAGATAGCTCATGATCACTTGACAAAGGCCTGTCAACTTCCTCATAGAAAGATAGCTCACGATCACTTGACAAAGGCCTGTCAACTTCCTGATAGAAAGAAACATAACGTGCTTCTGTGGGGCCTACGTCATTAGACTTGTACTGATCTAAATCTCAAAACTGTTAGAAAGTATGAAGGCCTGGAGAGGCCTGCCTATCTGACAAAATCCCCATTGGTCCCCAGGAAAAGCAATCCCGTTGGACCCCAGGGAAAAATTTCGGGTTCCACCCCCCTCCCCTGGAACGTGGATGTAAATGTCTATTAATGCTTTGATTTTGAAAATAGAAAGTACAAGAAATTCTTGAGGAGAGACACATGTTCCATATTTCTTTGATTGTACCCCTTTTGTTGTGCATTCTAACTAATTTTGCTAATTATTACATTGGATACTCAATCAAGAATAATAATAATAAAAACAACAACTGAAGATTTGTTGTAATTTAAGAGTTTAGGTCTCATATTTCACTATGAAGTAATAGAATACGTACATAACAATATCTGACATGAAAATACTTGTGCTCTAATAAAAAATGTATCTTCACAATATAATATGGACGCTGTATAACGTTTTAGGCACTTTGTTTAGAAAATGTGTTTGAATGATTACTTTAAAGTGTATTTGCATGTTACATTATATCTAGCTAGAATAGTATTTTAGGCTGTTATTGTTAAGAAACCTAAACGTTTATTGTTTCGCTAATGGTGTACACTTTTTTTTACATCAAACATTTTCTGTAACAGTTATCACTAGCAAAAACCATAAACTCAAAATGTTCAATAACAAAGAATATTTAATAAAATCGCGCAAATTTTCGCGCAACTGTCCTTTCTGGATATGGAATTTAACAGCATTGTACACTGTAAAGAATCATCAAACATTTGCAGTTGTGAGAAGTGTTATTAAAATATAGGCCTGCGTGAGTATAAAAATAAATACAAATATTATGGTTCTTGTATTAGAAGTATTTGTCGTTAACATTTTTAAAAGCCAAAACAATTGGAAGTTTCGTGGTCACTTGATAAACACAAACAAACATGAGTATCAAAGTCATTCTGACGTTTAAAAGTATAAATGTATTGAGCATTTAGCGGAAAAATTGTAAGTAAAAACGCAGAAGCAAGAGAAAAGAAATCATGATAAATGACAAAGCCAATCATAGTTTGTCATACCATAGTAAAAAGTATGTTAATATATCGGGTTGATTTACATAATCATTGCTTAAAGGCAAAAATATTTTTAAGCCAATAAAATGTATGTTCAATTATGAAAAATATATAATGAATTAGCTTCCTGACGTGAATATATTAAGTAAAATGTATACAATTTGGTTTTATTTCTGAACTTACTATGTTTATTGGTTGTTCTACTGGTATGAAGATGTGAATTATGTTGGAGCGGGGAAGGCGTTAAAACTGCCAATTTGATGCGATAGAACATATTTTTTTAATTGGAGTACATTTTAAAATATTCAACGGCCTCTTTTTCGACGGCTTTCCGTGAAACTTTTCCAGAAGAAAGTAATGGAAAACTCTCCATGAAGACAAACTTCTCAGGGACCCCGTCAAACTTTGTTGCCCCCTCCAGGAAAATTCCCTGGCAGAAATTCTTCAGGTCTGCTAGAGTCAGTGTCGCGTCTTTCTCTTTTATTACACAAACACATAACTCCTGAATGGTCAGTGGGTGGGGCAGTCCTACAATTTGATGAAGGATATATAAGGATAAAATTATAAGCAAGAATACCTAAACTTTTATCTAACAACATATGTAATTATCATTTTCTTGTTGGAAAACGATGACGTTTACCACACACTATTTAATATTTTGCTATTTATTATGATTTTTCATACGTTGACGGTAGAAGTATAAATCTATTTGCTACTTCTTCTTTATGTTGCGCTTCAAAATATTTTTTATCGGAATAATGAATTGGTTTCTTTAATGTTAATTTAATTTTCTGAATTGTATTTATCTTGCCTCGTATATTCCCCATATTTTATATTTTCTCATATAGAAAAGGGACAATCTGCAGCTCAGCTCGTTCAGGGTTTGGCTTGTCCATCATAACACAGAACCTCATCTCTCTTGGAGTTACAAACATGCTCTGGATGTTGTAGATGTTTTTGTAGCAGTGATGCTAATACTCTGGTGAGCCGCTTGCCATTCGCAGAAACCATACAAATATGTATGAAGGCTACATTCCCGATTTAGTTACCGTTAAAGCGCTTACAAAACATGCACAATTTTGTTTCTTTTGATTAGTGTGCAGAAAATCGTTTACCTACGACCATAACAGATTGAACCCCTGGACACTTCTGTATTCTCTCCTCCATCCACTGTGGGTACAAAATAAATGGCCCATTGTTGATGATATCAGCTTGGCGTCCTATGACGTGAATTCCACCATTTTCACTAAAATAAACAAGAAATGAGAATCTTCATTTTTATATATATATATATATATATATATATATATATATATATATATATATATATATATATATATATATATATATATATATATATATATATATATATATATATATATATATATATAAATGTATATATATATATATATATATATATATATATATATATATATTACGACTGTGTGTATAGCCTCATTGTTATATGCACTGTAACTGTAAAGTAGAGAAAAGCTAAATTACTCTATGTATCCAGCATCTTTAGTGTCTAGCCACCCATCTTCAGTAAAAACTCCAGCTGTTGTGTCCTCAACATTTAAATAGCGTCTTAGAACAGTCTTGCCTGATGTGAAAAAAAAATTAAAACTTCTTTGATTCTGTAAGTCAAGTTATTACAAAGTTTCTTTAACTTGAAAATAAAGATCCATTGTAAAAGATGTTTGACGGTGGGAAAGAAGGAGCTTTAAATAACCGTCAAAAAAGCATGACGTTATTTATGGATGACCTCTAATCACTGTTTAAAGTTTTACCAACAATGTATTTTAAATGTAAATTAATATAAAGAATTTTTAAATGCGTATTAGCAGGAAAACATTTTTCTTAAGAAAATTATCAATATTGTAAACCTTTAAAGTGTATTATCCCAGTGCGGTTCGGCTCTGTAAAAATCTCTTTGGTTTTTTCATCCACTAATCTTAATTGTAAGTCTGGGCAGATAGTGTTCCCAGCATAGCAGTCTTTAAACTTGTCCTGTAATCAAAAATTTAATCTCACACTCCCAATGATTCGAAAATTGAATTTCGACCAAATGTTTAATTGAGATAACAAAGCACTTATAAAAGAAATATAATATTCTTTGTGCTGAAGTGATTTGGTTTGCTTGTCACAAAATAAAACGATCAACCATCGTTATAACGACTATAAGAGTAAACCTTGAAACCTTGAGTATTAAATGGATGAGCCTCTCAGACAATAGAACTTGCACATAATCCTCAAGACAGAAATATCATGTATAATGTATCAATGCAAAAATAGTATCCATGTACACACTTCATCATGTGTAAACGAAATCATTTGAACATGATCCCAACAACAGTATTTAAAATCCGATTTAAAAAAAAAATCATAATAGGACGAAAGTTAAATGACGCTATACAGTGAAATGTTAGCTTATGTAAGAAATGAATTAGATATAAGAAAAAATGCGACTTTTTTGGTGTAAATCAAGGAGACTAACAATGAGGCATACTAAAATATATTAACTAAATAGAAAAAAGTACTTTGCTCTGGGCATCGACAAGTCCATATACCATCAACCCTACATCAGTTGATCCGTATGTTGTCATCATTCGCTCACACACTAGACCAACAACGTCGATGACATTCTGTTGAAAGAAATATCAAATTAATTATCTGTTCGTCTTGCTGTGATCTGTTTGATATTAACCGTAAGCAACATCGCACAAATGTGATCTTACCTTTTTGATTGGTTGAGCTCCAGTAAAGATAACTTTAATTGGTTTCTTTAAAACGCCATCCTTGTAGAGCTGGGGGATAAATTAATTTGAATTATATAAAATAAAAATAAAAGATAGCTACAAATGTCGTGTGCACATTTTTTACGTCTTTTATTCAAATTCAAATTTATTCAAATTTATTCAAACAACGGTTACAATTGTAGGCACAAAGGCCTTTTTTCACATTGGCCGTTTAAACAAATAAAACAATTCAAATAACACATAGCAGTAACATAGCACTAAAAATGTAAATGTAAAAGTAGCCCTCACCTCTTTCAGTTGTATGATATCAGCCACAAGTGTAAATGTAAAAGTAGCCCTCACCTCTTTTAGTTGCATGATATCAGCCACAAGTGTAAATGTAAAAGTAACCCTCACCTCTTTCAGTTGCATGATATCTGCCACAAGTGTAAATGTAAAAGTAGCCCTCACCTCTTTCAGTTGCATGATATCAGCCACAAGTGTAAATGTAAAAGTAGCCCTCACCTCTTTCAGTTGCATGATATCAGCCACAAGTGTAAATGTAAAAGTAGCCCTCACCTCTTTCAGTTGCATGATATCTGCCACAAGTGTAAATGTAAAAGTAGCCCTCACCTCTTTCAGTTGCATGATATCAGTCACAAGTGTAAATGTAAAAGTAACCCTCACCTCTTTCAGTTGCATGATATCAGCCACAAGTGTAAATGTAAAAGTAACCCTCACCTCTTTCAGTTGCATGATATCAGCTGTAAATGTAAAAGTAACCCTCACCTCTTTTAGTTGCATGATATCAGCCACAAGTGTAAATGTAAAAGTAACCCTCACCTCTTTCAGTTGCATGATATCTGCCACAAGTGTAAATGTAAAAGTAGCCCTCACCTCTTTCAGTTGCATGATATCAGCCACAAGTGTAAATGTAAAAGTAGCCCTCACCTCTTTCAGTTGCATGATATCAGCCACAAGTGTAAATGTAAAAGTAGCCCTCACCTCTTTCAGTTGCATGATATCAGCCACAAGTGTAAATGTAAAAGTAGCCCTCACCTCTTTCAGTTGCATGATATCTGCCACAAGTGTAAATGTAAAAGTAGCCCTCACCTCTTTCAGTTGCATGATATCAGTCACAAGTGTAAATGTAAAAGTAGCCCTCACCTCTTTCAGTTGCATGATATCAGCCACAAGTGTAAATGTAAAAGTAGCCCTCACCTCTTTCAGTTGCATGATATCTGCCACAAGTGTAAATGTAAAAGTAGCCCTCACCTCTTTCAGTTGCATGATATCAGCCACAAGTGTAAATGTAAAAGTAACCCTCACCTCTTTTAGTTGCATGATATCAGCCACAAGTGTAAATGTAAAAGTGACCCTCACCTCTTTCAGTTGCATGATATCTGCCACAAGTGTAAATGTAAAAGTAGCCCTCACCTCTTTCAGTTGCATGATATCAGCCACAAGTGTAAATGTAAAAGTAGCCCCGAGACGAAGCACGACGTCCCAGACGTCCGCCACCTTCCTGAGAGTGACCCCATCATAAAGTTCCTGCACTAGGGTGGGAATCCCCTGGGACAAGAAATAATGGGGAAATCCCCCGATCCATCCAAATGGGCGATCACTGTACATGACATCGTCTTTAGTAAAAATACTGCTGTAGTTTTCTGCTATGTCAAGACATTCTCTGAAGAAAGGTAATACAGTTAAGACTAAAACAACACTAAAACAACATGACTGGACTCATAGTTAGTACATTTTTAAACAAGCACTTTTTTGACAATCATATTCATAATATAAGCCAATGTTTCCTTTATTTGATGGGTGAGGGAGAGAGTGTTGGGAAGCAATTGACCGACTCCACCATGACTCACTCACCGTTTCTAGATTATGATTTTCATCAAATCGGTTGACATCGTTCTTAATGTAAACGGTAAACTCGAACACAAAACGGAAACATTTGCTTCTTACCCGTGTGTTCTCGGCACCATCTTAGAAAATCCGGTGCTGCCGGAAGTCAAGAAAATGTAAGCCTCGTCATCGGCCGTGACGGGGGCGACATAGAATTCTTCATCAGCTAGACGAGAGAGGAAAGCTGTGTGGTCTTCGTGGCTGTTTAACTTGTACACGATCAGCTGTTTCAACCACGGGGCCTGGTCACACTGTACTGGGATGATTGTTTCATTTCTGTAAAGTAAAGGCCCAGAGATGTAACTTTAAACGTTTAAGGAGATTTTTCCGCCGAAAAAAAATCGACATTTTTCCGCCAACAGACATTTTTTTTCAAAAAAAAAAAATCGGAAATCTTTCCACTTTTTCCCCGTTTTGTCAGACAACTTGGCTAATTTATGTGGTCTGTTTAAAAACAAAAAGCGAGCCGGTTTCAAATAAAAGAAAAAAACATTTTAATGATGTCCATATTTTCATGATGTCCATATTTCCTAGACTGTACAATATAGGCTACATGACTATATAAACGTGGCTTTTTAGGATAGCAGAGATGGAACTTATTTCCGTTTTCTTACGAGCTCGTTTTTTTTTCATTTTAGGAAAATTGTCCGCCAAAAACATAATTGCCGATCGTCGGTTTCAAAAAAAAAAAAAAAAAAAAACTAAGGGGAAAGCTTTTACGCCGATCAATTTTGTTTTCTTTCTATTTTGTATTGCCACAAAAAGGGGCGAACTAATGTGAAGGTAAAAATGTAAAACAGAAATGTAGCCTACTGAGAAACGCGATGTTCACATTATATCCCTTTTACTTAGCTCTAACTTCAAGGAAACTTTCCGCACCACGTGACTCTATACCACACACCACCAGTTTCTCGTGGTCATGATGACCGTTAGGCCTACAACAAGAGACCACGCTTATAAAACAATTCCACTTTTTTTTCTAAGGCGGACGGTTACATCTCTAAGTAAGGGTTTGGATTTAAACCGCATACACTGTACATGAACCTATCATAAAATGCTGTACACTGAAACTACGAAGCTTTAAACTATTAAAGGTTCTTAAAACAAATCGTGAAAAACTTGAGAGACTTACTTTCCTCCAGCCCACACACCATTGCTGGACGTGAAATATTTTTCAAATATCTTAAATGTTGGGTTCCCTGCTGATGTGATGACCGTGGAGCACTTCGAATGTCTCAAGGTCGAAAATAGATCTTGACCGTCTGACAAAACTGGCTGTAATATATAAAATGACAAGCGAAATTTTAAAAATATTTCCCCATTTATCAGATTCAGTTGGGAAATATTTTTTAACGCTTCGCTTGAATTTTTTATATTTTGCTGTCATTTTGGTGCTTAAAAAATGTGACATTTTAGAGCAACTCGTCATCTTCGGACCCAATTCAATTAAAGCCCACTAATTTAATAACAAGAAATGTGCCTGTGCACTGTACTGTGCTAAAATTTATATTTTAATAACTTACTAAAATATCGGTTATGAATAGTTTGAAATAAAACGGTTTAAAAGCGTAAAACATGTAATGAGCGTCTATAGCATTATGATGTTTTTTCCCCCCACATTGACCAAAAATTAAAACAGATTTTTATCTTACAAATGTGACGGCGTGGCCTAGCGGTAGAGGCTGCTAACCCGAAAGTCTCCAGTTCGAATCCGGGTTTAAGTCAGCAGAATGTCACTGAGTCCACACAGCTCTGATTGATACCTAACTCTTGTTAAGGAATTAAAGGCAGCTGGGCGTAGTGCTGACCACACTATTTCTTTGTATGCCGAGGTTTCTGAAGCAAATGAACTCTACTTCATTTACCCGATGTGTCTTGGGCACGAAGGGAAATAATAATAATGATTACATTAGTCATTTACTTATATGGAGAAATGTTTCAATTTTTTGTGTCTTTATCCGTATTATATTAAAAAGGAAAGCCACAACGTATTATATATTTTTTCTGATATCTACATCAGTAGCTTAAAAAAAAAGTATTTATGTCCAAATATGACCGATCCTACCCCACCTCATAAGTAGAATTTCTCGATTTCTGGTAATCCCCCCCCCCCCATCCCCCATGTGATTGGGTAAAATCCTTTACATTGTTTAATAATGAACCATACGGAATTCATCTATAGTTCTATAGGCTACCATGGAACCTTAAACAAATTTTATACAGTTATTTACCAGAGCATTCAACACGACTCCACCAGCCATCATGATAGCCATGTCCGTTAGAATTCTCGTCCTTGCGTTGGTGAGTGTAGAACATATCACATCTCCTTTCTGACGTTAGGAAAATGAAATGGAATTCATACTGGTGATTATATCAAACATGGTTGCAGGTTAAAAATCTAAACATTTCAAATAAGTCTAATTTATTTAATAAATAAACAAAACACTGAAATTCAATCTAAAATTTAACAAAAATAAAACATGTTTTTCACAACCCCCCTCCCTGTGTAACATTATTCAACATGTTCGAACCTCTGTCTATGTAAATGTTTATTGCAGCAACCCCCTCCACAAGATCATGTCCCAAATTAATGCTACAAAGCGTTATTTTTGTTTTGATTTTATAAATCAGAAACAGCGTAAAGTATTACATTCGGTCTCCGGAAATCACTCAATATTTGAGAGTAGCAAGACAGTTAGAGCTTATAAATATGTATACTATTTTATACATTCCGCAACATTCTGAAAGGTATGAAGTAACAAACACCTTAACAGATTTTGTTTAACGGCCTTCAAGCGAAAAGACTAGTGAAGAGAACTGCATTCATGAAAATTAAACGAATGTAACAATAAATTATCAAGTAGCATTTAAGTTCAACTATGTTCAGTGACATTTTAGCAGTGTTTCTTCCAGACTTTTTTCTCCGGGGGGGGGGGGGCACTTTAAATTTTCGGGGGGGGGGGGGGGGGGCGGTAGACTTTCTTCGGGGGGGGGGGGGGGGCGGACACTGTTAAAAGTATTTATTTTCTATATAAATTATATAAATTTCATTTCGTTGGGGGGGGGGGGGGCGGTAAATTTTTTTCGGGGGGGCTTCGACCCCCCGAAGAGATGCCTGGAAGAAACTCTGCATTTTAGTTATGTTCCATGAAGTTAAGGGATAAAGTGAAGCATAAAGAGTATAACAGGTAGTGAATTAAAGTGACGAAAGGTTTTAGCATGAAAAGTGCAGAGAGTAAGTGAACTAAGTAAAGCATCAGCCCAGACTTCCACCATCATCTTCAGTAAGCGCAGGTTTAGGTGATTTCTTCTAAAGAACACGTTATAGAACCAGTTTATTTCTTGACATTCTCCTTTATTCTGTTTTTATACAATTAAAAAATTTTTTAAACGAATTTTCCTCATTAAAATAAGTAGAAAAAAAAAACAAGTGGGGTAGTTATTTTGAGGCAGTATGGAACGGGTTAATGGCATTACAGATTGTCAATGGAAAAAAACTGCTTTGAGATACGAACAATTTGACATCTTTTACGGAAAGAATTAAATTAAACTCGTATCTCTAGTTACCACTATATATATATATATATATATATATATATATATATATATATATATATATATATATATATATATATTTTCCTTTTGTGTTTAACACAGATTAACAAGTTTTCGCATGTGCAGCTCTGCCACGTAAGACGTGAAAATATTTTAACTAATGCTACATTACCGTAACCCCATAACGCTTTAGCTTAGAAGCGTAACGTCCGCTCAGATCAAAAAGTTGTTGTCTTGACAACGGAAATACTTCATTCTTCATGCCTATAAAATTGTAACATTTGCTGTGCGGGTTTATTTCTGCTAGACGTTGAATCCGTTGGTTGACAGTGCGGACAGCTGACATTGTGCTCTGTTTTTGCTTACAAAAATGTGATGTTAAGTGCGCTCTATAAGGTGATTAAATAATTTTTGACCAGTTTACAACTTTGAGAAAATACTTCATTAATTATCTTATATTGGTTGAGTAACTTCCTGTTAAAATACCCCAGCTCTAAGCTTTGACTAAATGTATTAAGAATAGATAATATGTATGCATATTCATGAATTAATAAACTGAATAACTAACGACATCTAAATTTACAGAAATAGTCTACAGTAATTGAATATCATAGGCTGGGTAGTAATATCGAATAACCACATATAACTAAATATATATAGGCCTAAAATTATTTAAATATCTAGATAATCGTCAGATAATCCCACCTGCCAGCTAATTCTTGTAAATTTTAATTAATATATTTAAGTGGGATAAAAGAAGACTTTTTAGAAAAAAAACTAATTAACATAGTATTAGAAACGTATTATCCAGGTTTCTAGTGTAAGAGGCGTGAAAAGAGCGCACAAAAAAAAGGCGCCGAATTTTAAACACAATTAGACACTAACTGTGATGTGTTTTTTTTCTACTGTTGTGTGTGTTTTCGATGTGGATATGATTGTGAATGCGCGTGCGTGTGTTAGTACATGTGTGTGCATGTACACGTGTATGTATATGAGTATCTTTACGTGTGTGTATTTTGTGTTTACATGTACGCGTATGCAGTGGCGTCGCTAGGTCGGATGTCACCCGGTTCGGCACTTCCTGGTGTCACCCCCCATATATATATATATATATATATATATATATATATATATATATATATATATATATATATATATATATATATATATATATATATATATATATATATGTGTGTGTGTGTGTGTGTGTGTGTGTGTCGGCCTACATAGGTCTATAATTAAAATATATGTCACATACACGTACATGTATGTGTATAAGCTTTAATTACTACAGACTTAATAGTACCGGTGTGTATCTATAGTCTGTTAATAATACAGTTGGATGTAGCATTTGGCAATTTTTGTCTTGTTGTCACCCCCCCCCCCCTTAAATGGTGTCACCAGGTGCGGTCCGCACCCCCCACTTCTCCCTCGCTACGCCACTGCGCGTAGGCCACGTGTTTGAGCTTAAAGCAAACCCCAGCCTCACCAGCCTGTTACATTCATGTGGTTTTTGCACCTGTTGTATTTGTAGTAATCCGTCCTCTATAATATTATTCTAACGTAATGTTAAATTATTCAAGCTGGGATCAAGCTTTATCCCCCAACCAGTCGTTAACTAAAATTTGTAAGTGATCTCACGAGAGACCAAAGCTTACATCAACGAAAGCAAATTAGTTATGCTTTTTTTTAATTTGGGATACATTTAAAAGCTTTTTTATTACAAAGATTTTTTATATTTCGTTTTTGTCAGAATGTTTTTTTTTGTGTCCGCATTTTACTTCCTTAAAAATTCTTTTCATGAAGCATTTAATCATACTATATAAAAATGTTATTTCATTCTAAATCATGACACCATTTATTTAGCGAATGTAAGTTTACAACTCATATTGTCATCTTAAAAGCATGCATTGTGAAGATTAAACCCATAAACTTGACATGTAGTACCACTTGAAAAGAGGGGCGTTACATTAAAGTCCAAAGTGTAGCATATTTGCTGGTGAAATATCCAGCCAAAAACTAGTTTAGAGACATCGCTCGCAATATCTTTACTCTCTGTTTTGATCATGATACAAAATTTACTTATCATGGACGTTGTTTCGTCTAATATTCAAACACAGCTATTTTTTTTAATTTGGAAAAGCATTAATACCCTTTTTCTCTGGAAGTCTAACTCGTCATTCCTTATTTACAGATTTGCAACGCAACACCAAGATATATATATATATATATATATATATATATATATATATATATATATATATATATATATATATATATATATATATATATATATATATATATATATATATATATATATATATATATTAATATATATATATAATTGTGTATAAATTGTGCCCTTCTGGAATTGAAAGCTCTGTTGATGTATACAGGCGTATACTTTTATTTTTGCAGTATGTCTGACATGTTTAATGTAAGTATGTGTTTGTAGTAATAGGTTTCGTTTTTCTAAACTGTAATACTAAAAGATAAAAGAAAAAAAATACTTTTTAGTCAATGACACACCCTACCTATATAATTTATAAAACACTTTTTATTCGAAACCTTGTATATTTTGATATTTGACTGTAATAATTATTTTATAAAATGAGCACAATATTGTGTTAATGAATATTTTTTAAATTGGTACATTTATCCTAAACAGATATTATGAGACACACCATCTCATAACAAATATCTTCAGCACATACATTCACAACATACACATACAACCCTTTACATTACACACACCTTACACACAACAACGCAGACAAAATAGACACAAATCGTCAGTGGCGTAGCGAGGTCGGGTGTCACCCGGTGTGGCACCCCTCAGAGATGTAGCGACTCTTCCCAGGGACAAACTTTCAACTTTTTATTTGCACCCCCCTCAAACTTTCGATTTGCACCCCCACCCTCAAATTTTTCTCTGTATATTTTACTATTTTTTGCCTTGGTGTCACCCCCCTAAATGGTGTCACCCGGTGCGGTCCGCACCCCCCGCCCCCTCCCCCCCCCCCTCGCTACGCCTCTGCAAAACGTTACACACTCGAACACTCGCACACAAAATACAACATTCACATAACATACAAAATACACACAACATACACAGTAAACATGTATACAAACCATAAACACAAATACAATAAACGTACACACGAAACACACATATAACAAACACAAAAACAACCAACGCCCACAAATAAAAAACACACCTCACAACACACGACATTCACTCCACACAAAAACAAACATTCAACACACAACAGATACACAGTTACCACACAACATACGTTCATGTCTTGCTGTGGGAACACATCAAGTCAAAACACAAAACATACGGTACAATTACCTAAACA